TCCATGTCATAAAGGCTTAGTCATGTCTCTTGACCAAGCAATGAGCTGGTGCCCTGACACATACTGCACACTCAACCACTCTTTGAATCCACACAGCTGCTGTGGCAGTCTCAGCCGCCAGCCATGCCTCCTCTTCCTCACATTGATTGTGCTGCAGCGTCATGTTGATCCCATGACATATGTCGGGGTTGATGAACCTTTCAGGTGGTGGTGCTCTAGCAGTATCAAACCAGAGGGTATACCAGATGGGGGAGTCCACATCAGTGTCACTCATGGGAATCAAGCATGGAACATTACCTGACTGTACCCACACTGGTCACAGCTCAATATGCTGCAGCACATTGACAGCTAAGTTGTACTGCAGGATGGCCTCCTTGCATGAATGATCATGACACATTATCTTGGCCTCAACATGCATGATACCTGTGATACCTGTTTGGAGGTTAACAATCACCTCAATGACAACATGCTGCGCTTCCCTAGGTGTGCCTTTGTCGGTCCACCTTCATTGTGGCAATGTTTATGGCAATGAATCACTTCCATCTCCATGTTGTGGTGCACAAGCTGCCGCACTACACCTTCCTTCAACACCATACATTTTGACAGTGCAATGATGTAGGGAATATCTGAGTGATGTATATGGTGCTTGATTCCCTTGATGATATGAAGCACTCCAAGCTGTTCCACAAGATGTGCTACAGCTGGCTGCTGCTGTGAGATATGGTCAATTAAGGTGCAATACTGCTCAATGTTGATGACTACATTGTTAGTCAGGGTACCTTGATGAAGCCTGGATTCTTCATAGGATGTGATAACCATTGTCAAAGCATCCTGAAGCTGCTGCACCATTGAGGCATAGTCCTCAGCAACAGTAGTTAAACTCTCCGCATGATATCTTGCAACAGCTTTGTACCCTGAAGGAGGTTGAATAAGATATGGAGGGGAATAATATAGAAATGACTTACAGGAGTGAAGGGATCATTGACTACACTGTTGGTTGACCCAGAGCATCTGCAGAGCAGATGTGGTATATCCAGATGAAGATAGTCCCACATCTGCTTCATGACACAGGTCTTGTACATGGCAATGCTGATGCTGCAGCCATTGAGGCAACTGCAATTGCTGCTGCAGCACTATGTGCAGCAGTTGCCCTTCTGAACTGAATAGATAGCGATTGGGCTATGCTACATGTGGTAGGTCACTTCTGATCCTGGGAATCTATGAACTCACAGCCATGATCCTCCCACTGGGAATCAAATCTGATAAAAAAGCCCATATCTGCTTGCCACCCTCCCCATTGGTCAAGCCAAACCTGATTTGTTTTCAAGGGTGAAAGAGAAGTTGGCAAGCCCACTGATGCCCATAAGCATGCAACACAGATGTTGCCCACGTGATGCAGCCTTCAAGCTCTGGTGTCAGGGCACCAGCTCATTGCTTGGTCAAGAGACATGACTAAGCCTTTATGACATGGAAGTAGCTGGT